GTGTTTCATACGTAAGAATTTTTTTTCAAATAATCATAGTGTAAATGTTTTAATCAGTATTTTGAACTGATGCATTGCTATTTGAAGTGAAGGAGTATTTAAGAGGCAAAAATGTAACAAATGTAAGATGATTTTAACCCTCTCACCTATCAACTAGACTTAGGTGGCTACTTAAGGTAGAGAAATTTTATATCTGCATATTCTTTTGACTTTCTGATTAAGCAATACACATACTGCTTAGTAGAAGTGAAGACTTCTGCCAAGAATTTTGACATAGGGGAAGATTCAGGCATAGCATACAGTGTTTATGCTATAAAAAACTTTGTTCAAGTAATCTGCCATGCAAAAATATTCCAAGGTACATGGAATTTCTGAGATTTTCATAGACATTTTTGTGGAATCAGGGAAAAATCTGTCTTTAAATAAAGAACTTCCCATCAAATGTTCTGTTTTCTCTGATGCTTATGTTAGAGCTAACTGTTAGAAATGACATATATCAGTTCTTATAGCTGTCTGTTCAAGGCTGTCTGTCTGGAGAAGTAACGCATTTTCTTGAAAGACATTGCTTTGGCATCTAAATCTCAGTAACTGGTTCTGATACTGGTAACAGAAGTCTGTTATGGCTGTTGATGTAACTCATCATGAAATGTTCTTTTTCCTTTAGCAGCATTAGCTGTCTGTTTATTATTACTGCCTTTTCCAGACACAAACAGAGGAACGAATGAATCTACCTGTCCAAAAAATACCACCAGAAAGTGCAGCATGGACAGCTTTTATAAAATTTGACTGCTTATTTGCAATATGTTTGGACTGGTGATTATAGCAGAACTGTTTCCCTAAGAAGAGATTGAACTTTGGGAAGAAAATATAAGGATTTGTAAAACCGAAAACATTTAGGGAGGGCAGAGTTAAACTTGAATGGTTAGAATTGGTGTGTTATTCACAGTGAAGTTATATCGTGAAAGGCTAGAATAAGTTGTCCAGAATATGTAAAAACTATTTTGCCAAAAAGTTCACAGTAGTAGTTTGTGGAAATGCAGTGTTGGAAGGTCAAAACAAGAGTCATCAATCTTGTGTCACATATACCAAATGAACAACACTTCCCTGACTGTTAAGTAATTATACACCATAAGCCAGCTATAGCAAAAGTAGTATTGTTTTGGGACATTCTCAACTCTTAGTTTTCAGAAAGTCGTCTTTTTGAATAATACCACAGGGTTTCCAGTAAGCATGTTGGTTGTTGTGGTTTTTCTTCAAGTTTTGTGTTGAAAGAGAAAAAGGTTGATTTAGGCAAGTAGAGAGAAGTAAGTATTTTCCATATGTTCTCTGTAAATAACTTACTTTTTTAAATAGGTTTTTTAAAAGGTAAAAAATAGTATTGGTGTCTTAGCTGTAGCAGTTACAGAACACTAATGTAAAGAAAAACTTGAATATTTCTATCATTACCTAAAAATCTGGAAAAACATGTAATAGATTCCTTTCTGACAGGTCAGTATTTTCCCAGACAATCTGTTTTCTTTCAGCTATAATAGGTAGAAATTAGCTCAAAAAAAAAATGTTAGTTTAGAAAAGATATGGCTGGTGGTTGGACCCCTTCCATCACCTGTCTGAAGTGACCGGTTCTAGGAAGGAGGAGAACAAATCAAATGCTTTCAATGAGTTAGGATTGTTGAATTCGCATGATGTTTGAGTGCTGCTTGGCAAGGGTTCTTCTAAAGATGCAGCATGATTTTTCCCCCTCTGGTTAGTTTTCCTTTCTCTGTGTGAAGGTATAGAATCAGTGAGTGATGTAGTATAGGGTTGTATGTTGGACCTCAGAAAGATAATAGCAAATGTGATCGAAAGTATGGAATGGTTTCTATAAGAGGTATGACTAAGTAGATGAGTTTTGCTTTGTCTGGAGAAGAAACAGTGAATTATTATATATACCACTCATGAAATGAATAGGAAATGGAGAGGATAAATAAAAATCAGTTGTACGTTGTTTTCCAGTACAAAATCTAGGGGCTTCAAATGAAGCTTTGAGAAGCCAGGCTGAAAACAAACTAAAAGTGGTAGTATTTCAGTTGTTTCCTGCAGAAGAGAGTTGAGGAAACCCATTGCCAAAAAAATTTAGGAATGATAAATCTGATGGGGTTGCAGGGGCAACCAGAAAAGCTTGTGGAAGAGAAATAACTCACTGGAAACAGTGTGACCCACCTCAGATATTTGGAGAGTGAGAGCGCTAAGGGTGATGTATTGCTGGGGTTTTGTCGTTGTATATTCTCCTATGGGCATTATTAGTGAGAAGATAACAAGCTAGATGAACCTTTAGTTTGGTATGGTACAATTGTTTTATATTCCAAGAGAATATAAAAGGCAGAAAGCTTCCATGTTTAGTTCATATGCTGTATGAATTACTTGAGACTCTCAATAGCTGTTTCATTCTTTAAAGCAGGGAATGTGTGGAAAAAAAAAATTTAAAAAACCCTAAGAAAACAAAACACAAACACTCAATAATAGATTGTTGTTTTTTTTTTTTTTTCCCCTAGTCTATTGAAACAAGCAAGATCAAGATTGTAAATGGGAATTTGGGAGAGTAATTAGAGTAACAGATTTTTATTTATTTTTCCCATTTCTTGCCTTTTTCTATTTTGTATTTTACTCTGCTCTGTTTTAGAAAGTCTGCTTCCTGCTAAATGCAATATTTAAAATTCCCTAAGATGGTAAGGGATAAGCTACAAATATGGACTATCAGGCAAACCCTGGAGATTTAGTTAATCTGACCTAGATGTTCTTTTGACGATTGAGACCTGCAGTATGTGAAAACACTTCTCAATTTCAAAATGAAACGCAAAGATATCTGTTGTATAACTCAGCTGTCCTTGTAGTGACAGACACATCAATCATTTCTGAACAGGAAAGGATTTACTATAAAAAGTTTGTAGCTTTGGAGCTGTTGAGTTCATTGGCATTTGGATCCGCAATGATATTGGAAGTTGTAAGTGAATTCAGCATTTGAATTTTGCCATGTCCTAAAGAGGATTAGCTACAAATGCGGGCAACATGCTTTCTTCTTTTTCATTTCCAAGAGCCTGTTGTGTAAGCTGTTAATTCTTGACTTAGTTTTCAGCATATTTTATGTGAATCTGCTTGGTAACTCTTAAAAAAGCACTGAACAGGTACTTATAAACATCAATAACTGTAGAAAAAGGATCTAATTGGAAAAAAAGCAAGTACCTGGAAAGCAAAACTGTTTATATATACCACTTCTGAATACCTGAGAAGCCACTATTTTTCTGTAACCTCTTGGGTTAGGGCTATTTTTATAGTACGGTTTAATATACAAAGATGTTCCATGTAGAAGAACTGTGGAGTAAATGTCCTATTTTTTAAAAAACCTTACAATGATTGCACAAAATTTTTGGATGATTGGTAGGATTATATAGCCTAACATCTACTCTGCAGAACACTGCTATATATTTAATGAATTTTAACAGTTTTGACAGATTTTGCATGGTTTTCTGGTGTATGCTGGATTAGTTCAGGAAGATGTAATAATTCTGTGCTTGGAGAATATGGGAAAAGAAGGTTATCTGTGTTAAAAAGAACGTAAATTGACTTTTTCAGTGCTAATTGTTTCCGTTGCTTTGGAACTCAAACTCAGTATCTCAGCTTTTTGTTCAAACTGCCTCTTCTATGCAAAGTGGTGCTCAAATTTTGGAAGTTGCACTTCACATTTAATCAGTAGAGATTTCTTACAATATTAACAGCCTAAAAGCCCTCAAGAGTCAACACATGTTTCTCTGTAGGGGTGAACAGACATTTCCTTGGAATCACTTTGAGCTATATTAATGTGAATCTGCACACCTGAAATGAAAGCATAGTCCTCTCTGTTTTAGCACAAGGATCTTTTACAATAGAGTATAAAGAAAGTAAATCCAAATACTCTGTGGGAGGGAAGTGTAGGAGGTGAAAATGATGGATGCTTTGCACAGAGGGGTTTTTTTTATCATCTTTTAAGATACGTTGGACATAAGTACTGGCATGCTTGTAACATGTTTCTTTCAAAACTTCGAGTTTTCCAATGTTTATTTAAGAAATTTAGGTGGAGGAACGTATATTTTGATTATGGTCTGTGGTGTTGAGAAGGTGTAGTGTGGTTAGTCTATACCAGATGGGGTTTCCAAGGATTGAAACCTTTTTGAGAATGGGTATTCCGTGGCTCTAGTCCTCTCGAAACACCAAAAGAAGGAAGAAGCAAGGGCTCATCAAACCTGAGAAAATTAATAACAGAAAGAACTATGTCATATTGGTGATTATACGTCAGTTCCTCCATGTACACACACTTAAGAATAAGCCTTTGCTCTGTTCTGGAATAGGAATTCCTTTACAGTTAGTACACCTGCCATCTGCTTTGGCAGCATGTTACAGTTATAACAGTTACGGCTCTGTAAATTCCTATTTTTCTTAAGCAGTAGCAAAAGAAGTCGGTATCTAAACAAACATATTGGTTTTAGGTATTAATAGTTGTAAGAAAATGAACAATATTAGCAGAGAAGGGGTACCAAATGATGGTGATGTGACTGAGGTGCATGGTTTTCTAGTTGCTAAGACATTGCAGTGCTGTTGAATATGAACATTTAATTGTGAAGACAGTTTGGAAATATTTGGTATCATTCTTTACCATGAGTAATACAAAAGATTGCCACGGGTAATAGCAGTAATACTCTATTAATGTGATGATAGAAATTATTTAACATTTCAGTGCATCTGAAGTGTATTTTAAATTCACGCTTTTGGCAGTGTTCAATGAAAGTGGAAAATGTCTTGAATATGACTGCAATTTTTACGTCTCATAAATGCAACATAACTTGATTATTTGTGAGCTTGTAGTCTTATTCAGATTTTGAAAACAAAGCAAAAACTATGAACTTGTATTATGAGTACATGCATTTTTTTTAAAATTTACTTAAATTTTTTATGTGATGTAATCTCTTTCTTATGGAAATATTTTACAGACTCCTGGCTTGAGGGCACACTCTGGAAGGTTTCAGTGGTTTGCAAAAAAGTGTATCTCAAATAATCAGGTATGTGGCTTGTATGATGTCTTCTGTGTAACTGTCATTATATTCCAAGAAAAATTGTTTTCAAATACTTCATTGCTTGATTTTTATGTTTGTGAAAGTACATGTGATGGGCTGATGAGCTGAACATAAAGCTTTGTGTAAATGCTGGTGTATGCTTAGACAGAAGTATTTTAGCTGAATGCACACAGCATGTAAGTACACATATATAGAAAAGTAGTTGTTTGACTGAAGTGTAGCTATATTCTTCTTTCTTTTTAAAGATGGAGACTTTGGAATACTTCGTAGAATTAACTCAAAATCTATTTGAATGTGATAGAGATGAGATGTACTACTACCTGCTTCAACTATGTGGTAAGTGAGCTTCTGATCTTTTTCATGCTGTAATCTATTTTCTTTTGTGGCTGGAGATAGAACATAGCCCTGAATTGGAGAGTTTTATCCTGATATGCAATTAGTCTGGATATTTCTGAGGCATCTTGCTGAGGAGAGAGTAGAGGTTTGTTTTTTTTTTTTTATGTGCAGACCTGAACACTTACCTAGAACTTGTATAATACAAGTCTTCCAATCCATGCTATTATCTTATGCCCTAATTTGAAAGTTTACTTTGTTTTGATTTTTAATATGCTTAAAGAAGAAAATCTGCTCATTTGCGATATCTTCATAACTGACAAAGATCTGCAGTCTCCTGTAATTGGATCTGGTTCTGAAAGGTGCATTTTAAAAAAAAAAATCTACCAGTTCTTTACCAGCCCCAACGTAACTTTGCATCATTTATAGGAATGGAACAGTTTTTAAAATTGAAAGTTCATTTCTATGCTAGAGACTTAGTGTAGGATATATCTATAGTGATTTTCATCTCCTCTTTTCTGTATTTTTCAGTCTGTGCTAATTTTGTTACTTAGTGTGTGGTACTGTATTATACATAATAAAATTTTTGGAAACTTTAGCTCTAGTTATCTTAAAGTGTTGAAAAAACATTTGTGTTAAGATTGGATATGGAGCACTAAATGGTAAACTGGGACATAGAAAAAAGCATTACAGGGATTGCTATGGACTTTAGTAATGTGTTTATATGTATTAATGAGCTATTACAGCAATTTGATATCTTTTGGTCATGGGAAAACTTGCACCTGAGCTTGAAGTAATTTTAGGCTGTTCCTCATGTATATTTTTGGTTAACTAGAACTAGCAATGTCTTAAGCTAAATAAAATACTATTTAAACCTGCATTTTCTTTTCATATGATAATGAAATAGGATTATTCCTCATTGTACATACCACAAGCAGAAGGCATCAGTACTTCCACAAAAAAAATGGGTGAAGACCCCCTTGGAAATTTCATTGCTTTTTATTTCCTGAACAGTCTTAGAAAGCTTCAAATCCAAACTGTATTGTTACCCAATTCTGTCTTTACACATACTGGTTCACCATCAAAAATCAAGTAGGCCTGAAAAGCAATCTTGTCTCAACAGGGAAGGGAGTCTTCCTATTTCTCCATTCATCCTGTTCACCTCTGGCAGTGACTAAGTCTGACAGTGTGCCTGCTAGAAAGAGAATCTAAGAAGATAAAATTTATCAAATTCTGTCATGCAAAATCTTCAGTCTTCTTTCAAAAGACAAAACCAATTCCGTCTATTCAAAGAAGTGGAAAACATTTGTGGGCTTCTGTCACCATAAAAGACAAAAGCCACTCACATTCCTGCTTTCAACTGTTTTAGATTATATATCAAATCTGCCCGATGCATAAGTACAGTAGAGTTGTCATTGTGCACCTAAGCTTTAACTTCAGATCTATTCTAAGCATATAAAAGAAGAATCTGCCGTCTAGTCTAACCTGTGATCAGCAATGTTGAAAAGCATGCATTTGGGTTTTTAGAATCATAGAATACTTTATGCTGGAGAGAACCTCAGGAGTTTTAGGCCTAGACCATTCCCAGAGCTGAGACAACTTCAAAGTTAGATCACATCATGGCCTTGTCTAGTAAAGTTTTGAGTGCCTCCAAGGGCAGAAATCAAACAACCTCCCTGGGCAACCTGTTTCAGGGTTTGACCATCCTCACATACTCCATAGCTGCAACTTTTAACCATCACCTTTCATCCGTTGTTGCACACTTCCAAGAATAGACTGACTCGCTCTTCTCTGTAACTGTCAGGTAATTGAAGACAGTGATTAAATCCCCTGTTAGCCTCCTTTTCTCCAGGCTACTCAAAACTTAACAACTTCTATTTCCTCTTTTACTTCATCTGCTCCAGTCCCATGTCTGTCTTGATGGCTGAATTTGCTCCAGCTGCTAGCATCTCTTTTATAGTTGTGGAGCCCAAAACTGGACACATTCCTCTAGATGTAGCCACATGAGTGTCAAACATATGAACAAACACATGAAAAAGTGTTGAGACATTCCCTGTCCTCCCCTCTGGACTGCCATAATGATCTGCTTTAAAATGTTACCTGCAGTATTTAGTCCTCAAAACCAATCATTTTATTTGACTTAGGATGATCACCAAGTTTGTTAACTCTTCTGAACAGCTGAAGTGATGCCAGAACCTTGTTGAAAGTGGGCTTGGGTCTTGAACCAGCCCAGTTACACATATCCATGTGTTTTTCTAAATCCATGCTGCTCTTGGAAAGAAGAGAATGTTGCACTGTAAATTTCAGCACTGCATTGTAATACTGTTTGCAAAGCAGCATATATGCTGCTTTGAAACACCAACTTTATAAGAATTCTAGAGAATATCGAAGTCTGTCATGCTGCTTCCCAGTGGCTGCTCCAGCTTTTCCTTGTGTTATGGCATAGTCCAGTGGAGCCTAGGCTACAGAATAGCTGAAGTTCCTTAACTGAACAGTGAAGAATAGATGAAGAGCTGCTGTTAAAGGGTGAGATATTGCCATGTGAACGATTCACTCCCATCATCTGCCTTCTGACTCCGCCTTCTTGCCTTGCATCTCTTAATTTCTGGGATTCTGAATTAAACCATGGAACTGACAGATGACAGCTAGCAGATGTTGGGGTTAGGTATCTGTGAATGGGACCTATAACCAGAAGTCAATGCTGTTCTGGTGACTTATGACAGGAGACACAGGAAACCACCTACTGTATGTAGTTAAATAGTAATTAACTGTTTTCTTTCACAAAGTCCAGCTTTCTATTTATTTGCAGTTACATACAGTGGTGCATATATATATGCTATTTTTGTTGAAAACAGTTGAATTACTTTGTGAATTTGGTAGCAATGTATTCAGTTTTTCTATTTCAGAAAACTTATCTTTTACAGTCTTCAGATACACTTTTTTTTTTTTTTTTTTCCTTAGCAAAATGAGAGCCTGAATGCCTAGAACACTTTAGCTTAAAAGGGATAAACTTCTGGGATGTAGGTGCTCTAACTCAGTAGCAACACAACCAGAGGACTTAATTTCAAGAATTTCAGAATAGAACTTAGAAGTGGTACCTTAGAGTGTTAATGTTTTGTAATAATTTAGAAATCTTTATAATTATTTTTACAATTAATAATCAAGAATATTAGAACTGGTGATCTAGGAGGAACACTTCTGCAATATTTTGGAGCTGATTTCTCATTCATCTGAGAATTCATACAGTCCTCCCATGTCTTTTTCCTGTTTGCATCTTCTCATGTCCTCTGTTTTGAAAGTAGTTTAGAACTTTTCAAGTTGATCATCATAGAAAGCAGAAGTACATGATTAACTGGTGAATCCTTTTCCAAATATACCTTTTTTGAATCACTTTAGATATGTATGTATACTCTAAATGTGCTTTTATCTGAAGAGTTCAATCTTGTTTCAGATATCAATAGTGACTGGAGAAAGGCTGAAGCTGTTTGGACTAAAATTCAAGAAGAAAATATTGTTCCTCGTGAGAACACGCTAGCCTTACTGGCTGATATACTTGAGAAAAATGGTCAGGTTGTTCCATTTGAGGTACCTAAGGTAATTGGATTTGAACTTCCCTAGTTAACAACACTTTTGAATATATTTCGTTTCATCAAAAAATGTTAACAGATAGCACTACAGTAACTTAAATAATTTTTTTTTTGTTTTAAAGGTCAGACAGGAAGATACCAGAAGTTTGAGTGCTTCTAATGTGGAAGAGAGAAAAATAAGGATACTTTGCAAGGAAAACAAAGCAAAAGGTGAACTGAAAACCACTGGGTTTTTTCCTCCTTCTGCATTAAAGATTTTGATTAACTACAGAGCAACAGATATGTGCTGCTGCTTTTTAATGGTTTGCTAGTATGTTAAGAAAAGTACATGGTGATGTTACCTGCCAATATTATTCTTCAGAATCTGATATGAGAAGGACATGCTAGAGTATTTAAAATGTAATTTAGAAAATTTAAAGTTGCCAATTTTATAATTACCAAGTATTGCTGGTCTGTAGTTCACCTCATACAGTTGTGTTAACACCATGTTCTAGACTTTCAAGTTTATTCATTAAACACCAGAAACTAAGTTTATGTACAGGATTGATGCTAAGAATATTATTTTTATGGTTCACAGAAAATCTAGCTGTTTGGTCACAAGTTTTATGGTGTGAGAAATGTAGTGAGAAGAAAGATTAATGTCAAGTGAAATAGCTGAGACGTGTTTATGGGAAGGTGATTGCCTATTAAAAGAAGTTGTTCAAAGATTTTGCATTTGCCCCTGCTGTTGAAGTCTTAATAATAAGATCAGATATGGTTCCTAAGTATGCTTCAGGTACCTTTTTTAAGCTATACAGTTGGCAAAGAAATTAAATAGATGAGATTGAATGAGGTGGGACTGTGTTATGGAGATTATGATGGTTCTCTTCCTATCTGGCTTTTATCTCTTAGTCTATTTTCTATTTGTTGATGTTGCAATGCTATTTATTCCTATTTGAAGGAAGGAATCAGTGTTTTGCATAGTGTCTTTAGCTTCTTTACAACTAAGATTAAAGTTGTCCATATTTCTCTGCAGGATTTGCAAATTTCTCTTTCTGTTGTTCCTCCTCCAAAGAAATACACAGACTATAAACAAAAGATCAGAATCTGTGTCCCCACAGCTCGCTCATTCCAAACCTTTGTCCCTGTGGGTGCCACCCCACAAGTGAAATGGCCTTACTGAGAGATCACTTCACATCAGTTCTGCTAGGAAAAATGAACAGCTTTTCTGTGCAAACTTCTCTGTCTCAGATAAAAACAGATGGATATTTGCCTTTGTGTATAGAAAGGAAGGCTGTACTTCAGTGCAGTTCCTTTAGCTTAGTCTGTGTTTAAGTCATTGTAAATCCATTCCTATCCATCTTATCCCAAAGCAGGGTTACAGTCAGAGCTAGCATTACTGAACCTTTCAAATGAGGGAGGAAATCAGTTCATTTCCAGTGTTTGCAAGGTGCAGAGCATTTGAATATTCTGGAAATCTTTACTTTCTTCACCTATACAATGACAAATAACTAGGTATCCCACTTGAAAGCAGATTAGAAAATAGAATTATATAGGTTTTAAAAAATAATTTTGCTGAATGAGGAATATTTATAAATACTTACCAGTATATTTTACGGGTCGGGCACACATATTTTTAAGGTTTGGGTTTTTAAAAGATAAGTCTGTCAGTCATTCACACAGCTAACCTCTGTTGTTAATGAAATGGCCCTATAGAGTTATTGAGTTGTAGGAGCACTGATTAGAAGTCTGAAGTGGAGTCTGGATATTCTGTGTATAGAGAGTGCAATCTTGTGTTATGTATATAAATTCTAAGAATTATGTGTATTATGGCAGATGTAAAGTTAATGTTTTCAGGAAATTCTTCATACTGGTAAATTTTGGGGGTCAAATGAAAATGAGAAATGCAGAAATACTTTCACTGGAAACGAGACAAAATTAATGGAATGAATTTTATAACATTATTCCTGGAAATGTGTCCTGTGCCTTTGATACCATACATGTTCAAGTGGAGATCAAGGCGAAAACACCTTGGGCCTTGCAGGAAGACTAGTTTAAAACAAAAATATAAAATGTAACAGCTGACATTCTATGATGACATTTGGTATTGAATTTATCACTAAATTATTCCTGCATATTCTTTTATTTGAAGTATTTGAGAGGAGGTTGTCTGGAGATACTGAGAATTAAGGGAAAAAAGACAAATGTTGGGAAACAGTTCTCTTAGTTTTTATAGGGTTTTTTTAAGACATAGTTGTTGCATTTATATAACATAATGTAATTTTAATGTGAGTGTAATAGGGCAGAATATAACTTTATCAATGTCATCTTTTTGATAGGAAAAAGATTAACTTAATCAAGTTATGTAACTAATTTCATGAATTTATCAACTCTGACACAGAGATGTTTTGAAAATCTGTTCTCTGAAGTGCTTGATTTATGCAAAGTCATATTTTCATTTTTATCTTGATTCCTCAGTGTGAGAACTTGACTCTAGGGGATCATGTTACACATATCCCAAACAGTTGCAATTGCTGAAACAAATTTGACTGTCTTGAGAACTGAGACTTTCTTGGCAAGTTGTCACTTTTCTAACAAATCTTTCCACTTGAAATAGCTAGTGTAATACAGTATGCTTTTGAAACCAAGAACTTTCTATTTTGAATGCTAATATACTTTAGTAATTTTAGATGCTATCTGAAGAAGTAATAAGATGATAATACCGGATCAGGCATATGTCTTAAATTAGGGACTCATCTAGGTGTACTTCAGACATGCTACTTGCACTGATGCAAAATAAAGTTAAGAAGATAATCTGAATAGGTTAATCATTCTGAGGTCAGGACTGATATATACAAAAAACAACTTAGCACAGGAAAACAAAATTGATACAAAGATTTTTAGGTTTTCATTGAAATAGTCTTTACAAAAAAAGGTTTAAATACATTTCCTTGTAGAAATAGACCTTATATTTTGTGGACTATGGTAGTTGATGGTATAATATGCTTGACATCCTGTCTACTGGTAGCAAGGCCCATTTCTGTACCCAACCAATGGAAAACAATATTCAAACGCAGGGTGAAATCCTAGTTCAGTCTGAATGCAGCAGAGCTTTTGTAGCAATCTCCAAACATAAGTTTTTGGCTTTAAGAAGCAGAATTTAAACAGACTTTCAGGAGCGGAAAGAACAAACCTATCACCAGTCAGCTACATTTTTGTAAGTAATTAGTTACACTTGTAATACATTATACCAGTGAAAGAGTTTTTGTTATTGTTGAATGTGATTGATAGTCTACTGGTACCTCAGATTTCAGAAAAGTGGAAGGAAAAATTTCTTTCCCACAGAATTTAAGTGTGAACACTTTATGAATGCTGGTGTTGAGCATCTGAGCAGGCAAGACAGTTCAGCACATTGCAACGTGCCAGGCTTTAACCTCAGAACTAGAAGTAAATGTAGTAGAGGATTTCAAGACCTTTCCTGTGTCATCCTGTTGTTTCATTGGTCTTCTGGTTGACAATGCAATCACTATTGTAACATCATATCGTCAGTCATATTCTCTCTCTGTTTCTCTTGTATACATGAAACTCACATACACAGAAATTGATTCAATTTTTACTGTGATATTCTTAATCCTTTCTCTCTGTTCATATACATATATATATAGTTAATGTAGTTCCAAGCATCCAATGCAGATTATAGATAGCAATGCTATTTCTAATTATTAATTCAGTGTAAGAGTTTCTGTTGTAAATAATAAATTTTATGCATAATAATTTTTGTGCCTACATTTCAGGAGGTTTTTATGTATACTTTTTGATTAAAGAAGTTTAAGATTCAAACCGAAAGGCACACTAACAGTTTTGGTTTGGGGAATGCCAGCTTAAAATTCTGCAGCACACTGTAGTAAGTGCTGTTAGTGTGATGCTTCTTGTGACAGTAAGATTCAAATGAGTTGTCTTCATCTTTACTTTCAAAGGAGAAGAAAAAAACTTAATCTTAGCTGTGAAATCTGTAGTGATAGTCCAAGTATTTCTGAGAAGTTCTAAAGGTTACTGCAGCTATGATTTGAATTAGCAAAGGGAGTACTTTCTGAGTTTCATTAAATGAAACATGAAATCACAGCTTAGATGTAAAAGATCATTTGTGGTTCTTAACAGAGCTTTCTAGCATATGTTACAGCGTGGATGGCAGTTTTAGCTGCATGTTTATAGCTGCATAATCTCGTTTCAGAAAAATAAATGACTGAAAAGTGTGCTTATCGTTTTTTCCCCCTTTTTGGTAACATCTTTTCATACACTGACAGTTATTGTGAATGCATGAAATAAAACTGTTAATCAGTCAAACAAATGCAGCGTAGTTTACTTGTTAAATATCTGTATATTTGTAAATTGTATGTTTTGTATAAATCTTGTCGTAGCCAAATAATTTGATCTCCCCATATTGGAATCACCTCCTATATTATTTGTTAAATGCTGTTGTGATCATGCACCAGACACTGTAACTATATACCCCAGAATTAGGTGTTGCTTTAAAAATCATGAGTCTTCCCCTTCAACCAGCTGTGTTGGTATTTAAGCAACAGCTGCATGTAGATAAAGAGCAATAGCAAACTTTTTGTTCTGTGGAGGTGTGTGTCAATCAATTGTTCTATACAAGCAGTTTTGAACAAGCTGGGACCAATAGCTTTGGACTCAAAGATGTAAGCAGAGGATAAATAGATTTAAGATGGACCTTTTCAATAAATAGGTGACTTCTTTCTATGATCAATGTCATCACAATGTGACATTTCATTTTGCCCCTTTTTTTTTTTTTTAGAGGCCTACAATGTTTTCCTGGAAATGCAAGGGAAGAATGAGTTTCCTAATAAATTTTATGTCAGCCTTATAAAAGCATTGTTAATGCAGAATTGTTTCGAAGAAGCCATTGAAGTAAAACACATGTAAGGCTTTTCTGTGTTTTGGGGGTTTTAATTGTTTGGGGGTGCATGTTTTTAAATTAATCCTGGATCATTTTCAGGTAAGTCATTATCTTTCAATGGGAAAGCAGGTCGTGACTGTTAATTAGGAGCTCTGGTGAGAAATACAGCAGTGTTTCATAGGGTGATATGCCGTATATTAAAAATGTACTAGAGTAACTGTATATTGGTAATAACTCATTTCAGCTAACAGTATCGACGAATGTACTTGGCATCAGAACTGGAAGTCTACCCTTCCTGCAATCTGCCTTTTTCCTCTTTAGAGCAATATCCAAACAGACAAGATAGCTTCACTTAACTGTCCGTGAGCCTTCCCCTCAGTGCCCATCCCTGCTCCTGTCCTACCCTGCCCACGCTCCCTGGCAGCTGGCTGCCTGCCAGATGCAAAATGGTACGTTGGACTGTGATGCCAGTGGCTAGGAGATGACCATAAACCTTAGGTCCAACTCTCACCCTTCTGAAATAAAACCAACCTGCTGTCATGTATTTTTAGAATCACCAGAATCGAGTTAAGCTTTAGAGAGTTGTATGGTACACCACTTGTTTTAATTATTGCCTGCAATGTGTGTTCTAGTCACATTGTAAGCTTCAAAGTAGAAGTGTTACTACTCATAAGCGTAGAGGTAGAAACAAAAAAAATGTAAACAACTTAAGCCTTTCAGTTTCTTCAGCTAAAACAAGAATAGTGGTTGTCATCAAGTATGTTCTCTGACTGAATACAGTGAATTTGAAGGTGCCTGTTGGTAACTTACATGACACATAGAGCACTATAAAAAAAATCTAATAGCTTTTAGTCAGCTTAGCTTTTGATGATCAAGAGCAGTATAGCATAAGATGATATTTATTATTTTCAAGGTTTTATAAAAGATGTTTAGACCAGAGAAGTGTCTTTTCATTGAAAATGTATTTGATTTCTGCATTCAGAAGAACAAATAATGTTTATTCAAATAAGTCTCAGTAACTGGGCTTCATGATAAGGAGTGTTCGTGCTTGATGGATATATGGTTTATATCGAGGAAAAACTGAAACAGTGTATCAAATTAAGCTTCCTGAAATGGAAGTAACTGATAAATCTTTGTAAACAGAAGATGGAAGGGAAATGTCTTAGAAGTAGAATGTTGATAAAATTTAGATAGGTCGTTAAACATCTGCAGAAAATACTAATGTATCAAAAGATATATTGAAAGATTCTTCAGGGAAGAAGTTTGGAACTTTCTACTGAAGATTTGTAAATGCACTGACTGCTTCCCTGCTCTGCAGCCCAAACACTTGTGAGGAAGATACACAAAGTATTTTACGTTATAGGAGTAATTTGGAAGAGCAGAAAGAGCGTGGTGGCTTGTTTCTAGTATTTCAGTGATTCAGAATTCCCACTTGAGATAAGTGTTTTCATATGTAAATTCAAAATACAGGAAGAAAACTAACAAAAAATTTTAAAGACTGAAGAAGTTGGAGAAGTGTTTTAAAGGACTAAGCCTCTGAACCTTGCGATATTTAGAAAAAAAGAAAATAGGATTTAGTAAGAGTTTCTATTCTTGGTCACTGGTCAAAGCCAACCATCATCATAACCTCTGTGCTTTTCAGAACTCTCATACTCCCATCTTGTAGCATAGAAATGGCAAATAATGACATTCTAAGAAGCCTGTAACAGCTCACTGTTGCCTCAAGACAGAAAATGCTTCATATTGGCAGTGTTCATGGTGTTTATCTGTGTATCTTCTTTCTAGTAACAAAGTGATGCTTACATTAAGCATTTTCATAAGCCTGTAAGTTTTAAATTATTCACTGAAATAGAGAAAGTGATTTTGTATATCCATGGTTGAGGAATAGCAAATCTGTGTGTTTCATGCACATTTCTGCGTGCTTGACAATTTTTCCAATCTCATATTACAAAGAGATTACTCCTACAAAGCCTAAATGTGTGCAGTGGTCTGAAACTTGTGCAACTCCCAATATTTTCACAAAATACAGGAAAGCTATCTTCATTTATATAAGCTGACATCTTTTTCTTTTTACTCTGCTTGAAGCCAAATTTGAAATTTAAATAATATTTAGAAAGCCTTAGTATAAGCATTAGCATAGGCAACAAAATAGGTTTTTTTTTTTTTTTTTTTATGTGAAAAGGTCAGATAATTTTAAAAGTTCCCTCCTATTATCAGAACTGAGAAGCTTCCTTGAGAAAGTGATGTGGTGGAAGAAAATTTCACTGCTGCTCTGCATTTGGAAAAAAAAGCCCAAACAACTCACGGGGTTACTGATCCGTTGGTCAACCCAAATCTAGTTGCTAGCACTGTTTTGAGGAATATTTACTGCATTTAGTCCAAGAAGTTTTAAATAGAAATTTAGGAGTATTGGAATGATGGATTAGTTCTGTAATAGTAGCTAACATCTATTTAATCACACTAAAGATTGGAAGATTGGAGAAAGTAAATCCTTTGTTATATGTAATTTACAGTCTCATGCATGAATTGTTGACTTAAGGGCTTTGACAGATGGGACAAAGGGAAAAAAAAAAAAGGCAGAACTGAGCAGTGGGTGCTTAGGCAGGGATTAAGAGGATTGGTTGGGAGAGTAAGAAAATCCCGAGTCCAGTGACTGCACTTGTGAGCCTGGGAGGCTGAAAGTGACTGAGAGGATAGTCATATTGTGTACGCTGTGAAGGATTTTCTTGGGATTGAGGAGAATAATTTAGCAATGACCCTGCTTACCTCCCAATCCGCTCAGCTTCTAAGTTCAAGTAGGTAGGCTGCTCAGTTGTTTGCCACAAGATGATCAGTGAGGTTTATCTTGATTGCTGATATGGTAAATGGCAATGCCCCCCTTTTCAGTGTAGAGATTTTGTAATCTAGAAATGAACGTTTGTAAAGTTATATATTAAAAATGTGACTCTATGTCATTTAGGAACGGGATCATTTTGTAGTGTAAGATCAATGTGATTGCTGGTTAGTCTGTCTTGACTAATTTCCAGAGTGTTAGAAAAGCTTTAGCAGTGTTATTAAAGTAAAGATTCTCTTTGCTATAGATATGTGAAGTTTTGTGTTACAGGAGATAAAGAATTGATAAGCGAAATAAAATTTTGACATGGCTAAGGCAGCAAATGTAGTATGTTCCCTTTAAAACCTGTATACATCTAGATGACAGAAATTTGAAAATTAATCAACCAAATGATATGGTGTTAGTTCATAATATGCTTTAGTTTATGTTTAAAATATACAGTGCTGAAAATAAATGTTTCATTTTTATTGCTGAAAGAATAGTTTTATATTTTATAATTATGGTGACTATTGAAAAAAGAAGAAAAAGTATCCAGCTTAGGATACAACAGAACAATGCAGGGCATGCAGTTATTTTAGTCATCTAATATGTCAGCATTCAAGAATCTGAACCGATTGTTTAAAAAAAATCTTGTACTTTGTTTCTTTTGTTGCTCACTTCCAACTTTGTCATCTGTCAGAATGCAAAAAAAAATTATCCTTCTATAACCATTGACAGGATAACACAAAAGCTGTCTCCAGGTCGATATTTTGCAGCAATATTTTTAACATACGAACAGTAGTTTTTATAATTTCACCTTGGTGCTCAACCATTTATTATCGTATCAGAAGCATGTCAGTAATTCCTTTCTAAATGTCTGCTTCTTTTAGCGCTGAGACCCACATCAAGGGCTTCACACTGAACAGTGCTGCCAGCAGCCTCCTCATCATATCGCAAGTTAGGCGGGATTATTTGAAAGGTATGTCACAATGCTTGACCTTTACGTCACATTAATGCCTCTGCAGATTTTTCTTGTAACGCCCTTCGAATACTTGGATAAAGGAGTCCATTTAGCAAATTACCTGCTTATCAAGAGCCTTTTGTGGTAGCTGAGAGACGTAAATTACTGTACATGCATTTATAATACAGCTTGAATATGAATGTACTTGTCATTTGACCACTTAGTCCAGTTTCCATTCCATTTAACACAAGATGGGTTTTCTTAAGATGAATCACAGCTCTTCAGACATGCAAAATTTGTGCTCCAGAACGAGAGAAAGTACAGGCTTTCAAGTGCGTTAAAATTCACAGCACAAGTCATTTTGCTTTGGAAATTAACATACTTTAGAGCATCTGAAACAATTCCCAGCAGTTGTTTCTTGCATATTGTGTTGGTTGTGTGAGATACCAGATGAGTTAAATTGACTGTTAAATGTGCATGATTGTGCACTAAATGATTATAATATTGATTTAAAAACTTAATCAAATACTTTTTAATAGTTCTTAATGCCAACAGTAACAAAATATTCAGTTTGGTTTTCGTTTTTAATGTAACAGTGATGATAGAAAAGAAAATGGTGGCTGAAGACTATGTAGGGGTACCCAACAAGATGGTGGATAAAGTTTACAGTTGTGCTAGTTTGGTTCTCAGTGTTGGTGGTTTTGCAGCCTCGAGTTCAGCTCCATAGCGTTACATTTCAGTTAAAGTTGTGCTGTAGAACTCTCTCTCGAGCGAGGAAAACCCTGTAAGCACATAGTTTTACATGCAGCGCTGTGTCTCTTATCCCTGTGCAAGCATAAGTACAGTGCTGATGTGAATTTTTGTTGGTACCTTTAAGGGTTAAAGCACCTACGTATGAAGAAAATGTGTTACACTGAATTGGGTTTTACTTTCATACCAGAAGGCATACCAGAAAATCCATTTTTGATTCAGCCACCAGTTAATTTTATTTCATTCCATTATGCATAGCTGTAGTAGCCCAGAAAATACTCTAACGTGGGTATTTAGATGTGTCTTCTCACTTGCACTCTTTCCTGCAGCTGAAAAACTTGTCTTCTTTCAAATTGCTTCCCCATCCAGTCTTCAGTCTGACATCATTGCCAGGTGTCATCGACTGAAGTATTTGTGGTGAATGCAATTGCTTCTCTTGCTCTTGGCAAGTCTTAAGGTTTTTCAGCTTTCAAAGCCTTCATCTGACTTTCCTGTCTGATTTTATTCTAATACATTTTCTGCTTTTTTTTTTTTGTGTAGTGTGCCATGAAGTTTTGCCAGTTCTTCCTAAATATTAAACACCTAAAATCTTCCCTTCTTCAGAATATCACTGATGATTCTGTATTCTGCCAATCTCTTGCACTAACTGCATGATTTCTTTTTAGCTAGCATACTGAATTCTTTGCCGTATCAACTTTCTCCCTTGCTGTACTCTAAAAATGTTGCTTTTAGCACAATACAAAGTATCTCAAGTCTGTGGAATTACATTCCCTTGCAAAATTACATATTCCTTTACCCTATGCACTGAGCAAGCTTTACTTCAGTAATTTAATTGAATAGTGGGATTTGATCCATGTTTCTATTTTAATTTGAATAATCTGCTTCTCTTTTTGTAAATGAAGCCTTGAAATGCAAACTGCTAAATATTTCAACCATACCGGTCATTTTCTGAGGCTCATAGATTACCCAATACATTTTTGGTCACAGCCTTTTTGTAAACTTTTGTTGGTGAGCTTCAGTTGATCTGCGTACCTGTGATGGCTTTCACTTGTGTAAAACTTGCTTGCTTTATCACTTCCTCATACAGTTCACCATCAGTCTCTGCTGTGTAGTGTGGTATAGTTAAAAGTTTTTATGTAGGTCCCTAAGTGTACTTGTAAAAGCTCTCATATCTGCTAGCAGGAACTTGGTAAAACCCAGGTTACTTTGAGTCAGAACTAGAGTTTCACGATAGGGAATTTTCAGTTTATAGGAAAGCTGGTTTTCACAAGCACATAGTTACTTGCTTTTAAGTACTGAAAAATCAAGGGATTAAGTTATGAGCAGATTGGTAGCAATGAGTGCTTTTGCATAAGATTAAAAAAAAAAAAGAGATACCAGCAGAATTATCTAGTATGCTACTAGTGTGTAATTTCTTGCAGTGGTGCCGCACGCATACAACTTCCAAATCTTCTTTGTCAGAGATCTTAAGAAGTCAGGTCATGCCCCATGCGAAAGGGAGGCCCACATGTACAGTCAGGAGAGGGTTTGAATTTAGCATGTGTTTTAAGTTTGCTTTTTAAATTTTGGGAATCTTGCCCCTGATGTATTGCTCCTTTTTTTTCCCTAAAAAGAAAGGGCGGGGGGAGGGAGGCTCTACAGGAAGAGAATTTGCCATTAAGGAAGGTTAGGCATACAGGATGTTTTTTCATCCTCTCCTGTAAAAGGTAATATTTGGTTTCTGCAGTACCTGCATATTGAATTAGAATGTTAATGCTGTGGAGTTCAAGTGGGTGTATATTATGTTAGAAGTGTTATCCCTTGGTATTATAATTATTATCTGTGATTAATCCTGCCTGTGCTAGTAAGGAGTAAGAGATTTTTACCAGAAGTGCATGTCTTTCTGTGTGTGTTTGCTCATGTATAAAGTAAGTTGACAAGAATTCTGGTTAGAGAAATTGGGGTGACTTCATCTGTGGTGGGTTTGGGGAATTTGTGGCAGACGGACAGGAGATTGATTCTGTGTGGTTTTAACATAGGTAATTGCTATAATTTTAGGAGTTCTTGAGGTAACTGTCCAGTTTTGAGTTTATTTTTGTTCTTGTATGGAGACTTGTGTCCCATGCTTTTATTTAAAAATTAAATGAAGGTAAAACAAAGGTTTAGTGCACACTTAAAAAGACAAATCTGAATACTAGACTTCAGTAGCTTCAATATTGAATTACATTTAAAAACTATATTTATTATTAAGTATGAAACATATTTGGGTTTTAGTAAAGAAAATTGAGTTTGGAGAAAAAAACAAGCTGAAAAGGTCATTACCTCAAGGTCATAAGGGTGGACATTTATAACACAGCTGCTTTCCTTGACCTGGATACTGAAACAAAATAACTGTTAGAAGTATCTTAATACTTTTTATTGAACAAATACTGCAGCATTTTAACCTGAATAACCATTGAAAGTTTTGATATTTGTGTGTATATATTCAGCTTATAATTCATTACAGAAATTTTGGGACTTAAGTTCAGAAAGATAATTACTTTCTGTACATGTTTTTAAAAAGGTAGGGTTAATGCTATCAGCAGCATGGTTGCTTTCTGAGCTAAAATCTGATTTCTTTTTCCCTTATTTCTTTACCACTGTTAGATGCCATGGCCGTTTTAAAAGGAATACTTGACAGAGGCATGTTGCCTACTAGATCAGCAGTTAATGCACTCATTCAGGCTCTGGCAGAAAAAAGAGATCTAAGGAACCTGCAAGCACTTGAAAACATGTTGGACGACATCACAAAATCAATTGGTGTACCTGCCTCACTAATTGCTAATGCTATTGCACTGGCTCATGCTAAAAAGTAAGTATTTCTAGGACTAGTATATGTAATTATTCTGTGCAGAGTAGTGGGAAATCACTTGCATGATCCATTTCATTCTGTTTCCATTCTTACAGTGTCCTAGATGTTAGAATTCTCGTTAGGTTGAGTAATTTACTGTACAGTTCTGTTCTGGTATCATTTCCCAAACACATTTGGTGTTAAAAATCATTTCATGAAATACAGTGATAACTGTGAAGCATTTGGGAGAGCATAAGGTCTTCTCTGGTGGTGTAATTTAGTTTTGATACCTTTCTTCTAATGTATTGCACCTCATGTAAATTGTTCTCCTAGTTGTTAGATCAAAAGCCCTATGCAATCTTAATGTAAAATTGAATAACTTCATCAATATAAATGTAAAAAACCTTGGACCTGACTTCCCACAGATTATGTATATAATACTTGTTTGGAAACAAAAATCTGCTACCTGTTCTAGTAGTTGAAATCACAAAATATTACTGTGTTTACCTTCAAAATGTGAAAGCCAGATACCTGTCTATGGAGTGGTTTTGTACTTTTTTGTGTCAGAATTAAAAAAAAATGGCTGCTATGCTGCTTTAGGCCACTGTTTCGATCATGATAATTAACCGCAAGCTTTGAATATCCTTTGATTCAACTGTTTAATTCAGTATTGTGTTCTGCCTCGCATTTTTTTTTTAGTTGATATATTGGTTGTGTGCTAGTTTATCCTTTGTATAAAACTGCATGGAGGAAGCACTGCTGGGAGAAAGGACCTACTACGAACTTCTCAGATACGCTTTGCAGGAACCGGTCTTCAGGAACCCTGCACATTCTGTTACTTTATTTCACACCGCTTTCATCAGGTCGCGTCTAACTCGTCAGGAAAGCTGTAGAAGTGTATAGTACATAACAAATACCTGATCGCTTCAGGCATACCAGACCAGAGAGAATAGTCACTGAAGTGTTTGGAACAGCGAGAGGACTTGGAGAACCATGCAGGCCAGTTCCAGTAGTGGGCTCACTGTATTTTCAGCCACTGAAAGACAATATCTATAAAGGATTGATCCTGTAAATACTTAGATCTGGATGGTCCTTGGCGCACAGTTCTAGTGCATTGACTTTTGCCCAAAGCTAAACACTCCAAATAGGAGAGGTACTTCAGGATTTGTCTCATAAGCTGCACATTTTGCTATATTTCCATGTCATATGTGTTGCAAAGTCATGCTACCTTAGGATGTAGATTGGTGACAAGAATAAGTAAATTAATAAATTGCTATATGCAGGGGCAGGTTATTTAAGCAGCATCAACTTTTTTTTTTCCCATACCGAAACTAGCTTGAATGTATTAAAAGACTTAGCAGCAGCATAAATAGTATGCATCTTATATATTCTTAAATATCTTGCAAGCTATACCATGAGAAGAATGAAAACTGTATTCTTATGCATATTTTTAATACCTGTTCGTTTACTGGTAGATAAATATTTCTGATACAGTTTTCAAAGCATTTTTCGTAGCTTTCAAATGTGCTGCATTTCTTCTTCACCTAGAAGCATTCATCATGTTCTGATTTCTTTTTCAATTTAGAGTGGACTGGTAAGAGGTCATGTCATTGGAACTTTTTAGAACGCTAGAAGTAGGATTTATGCTTTGGTGAATACTTCCTTCATTATTTCATTAACATTTTCTATAATTTAGCCATAAGATTAAAAGTGTTTCGACAAAGGTGCTGACCAAATGACAGTTAGTATTGTCTTTTGCATCCAAAAAGGCAGGCATGGGAAAAATCAGGTAAATAATTAATTGAATAGCATTAAAAAAAAGTACTTGAGTTGTGTGCATTAATAATTCAGATACCTTCTGTTTAATGTTTTGGTTTTGCCTTCTAGATTCACAGAACACATTTTCCTAAAGCAGCTAACTGAACTCTTCTTTCTTAATGAGGAAAAAAGTATGTCAAAATTACTTAGGCTTTGTACAGGTCAGAGGTCATTTTAAAATTTTATTTATGGGTTAATTTATTCATTCAGTCATAAATTGTTTGACTTTTATAATATCTGAATGAAGTCATAGGTACTCAACCGTTCCTGGGAAATATAATCTTAATGTAGAAAACAAAAACTTCAATATAATTGCTTCTTAAGGTTTTGCAATCTTGATTTCAGAAACTGAGCCAGTTCAATCTCTTTTCCCAGCAATGACCTTGATGCTGCTGTGGAATACCTTGAGCCTCTGCTTATCTCTGGTGCACAGAATCCTGATCAAGCTGTCAACAGTATTTCCTATTTGTTAAGAAAGGTGTCTGAGGAAGGATTAGAACCAGCTTTGGAAAAATGTAAGCTAATTGCAATGATATTTAAATATTCTGACTAGACAGAGCTGTTATGAAAGAGCTATTACATGTACAACCTGCTCAGTCAGCATAAATCGTGCCTGTGAAGTTTACAAAAGTAGCTTTTTAATCACAGATTTTCCTTATGTACCCATCCTTTTGCAGTTGGTGTAATGGCAGAACGACTGGCCGGTCAGTTTGGAATTTACAGACCTGTCACAGATCTTTTCCTTCAGTATGTCAGCGCAGACAGAGTGGATGATGCCAGATCACTGATACAGGTAATGACATAACAAGAGAGGTACAGAAATGCTTAGGGCTCTTCAGAGGTTAACTGAGAAATTGTTGAAAAAAGGTGTTGTATAGCATAAGCTAGTACCAGTATGCTTTTGAATTACAGTGTGAGTAGCAGTAGCACAGTTTAGACTATTTCAAACCATAAGCTAGTCCTCTAGCACTAATAGTAGTAGTGGGTGCCAGAGTTGGAAGGTTTTTGGTCTTCTAACAACCTGAAGGAAGTAAAGGAAGACTTGTGAATTGCTTGAAATTCCATCCAAAGCAAATGGATGGAATTTCTTTTTAAGTTTTCTGCTAGACAGCAGTTGTTGCTTGCAAACCATTTCCTTGAAACTTCTCGCATAATTTCTTAAGTGCTGTAAACAGTAATATTTCACAGCTGTATAGTTTGCAAACCAGAAGCAGGCAATGTTTGCTTTTCATGGACCTTATTTCACTTGGTTGCTGTAATACTGTATATGCTGTGTTCAAGGTTTATTAAGAACTGAATTTGCTTTCTATTCGCATGAGTGCCACAGATGCATTAAAAGACAAATGCTGGCCTCTAGGCCACAGTTTTGGCTGAGTTATCAATCTTCAAGGGATGAGACAGCTGCATTCATGCCTTTTGTACAGAGCTAAAGACAGAGCCAAACCAGAGGTGGGATGAGCTGTGGTTGGTGGGAGGTGCCCCAACAGGCTCCACCAGGGAGGCTCATTCCAGCAAGGTGGCAGTCCAGCAGTCACACCAGTTCTGCAGATGGTTCTGTGTGCATAGGCTTCTGCCTCAAATTGAGGCCTCTTACCATCTCCTGGTAGTGCGTGCTACTCTTTAACCAGCTCCTAAGTATTTTAAGCTGTTAAAGGAAAAGCTCTGGTTTATCCATCAGCTGTTTTATGAAATTGCAAGACTGTTTTTTGAGAAGAATGCATACCAACAAATGTGTTCCGTTACTTCTGCTACAGTGTGAGATGTATTATTTGTGTATTCTCTGCGCTGGAATATTACTTTGTTTATTGCTTTGCCTAACTGATCTTCTGAGTATTAAAATAGGAGGAGACTACAATTCTGATATAAAACCCTCTTGCTATATAGCATGAAACATCAGAATGCAAAAAAATCTCAAGTTATTCTATTCTTCCTGATTTTTTGATTTCTCTTTGAATGAAATGAATGAAATTGAATGAGTGAATAAAATTTGATTACAATCTCTTGCTTTTGTGAAGATAGGGGGTTTTGCATTTTTAAGTAAAATCTGCGTGTTCTTAAAATTTTTCAAAACATGGAGTAATGTCCATTCATATGTTCCTAAAACTTATTACAACAGCATGAACTGTTGAAATTAAATTCATGGCTCTATCGCATACCTGAAATAATATATGTTATATCTTGGCAGAGAATTTTAAAGTATTTCATGATAAGTGGATGTACACAGATAAGCTGTGTATATGAGAAAATTTGCTTTTTATATGGTGCAGGAAAAACTTCCAGTTGTGTTAAACATTCTTGACTGCTATTGTGGATCAAATATTCTTCTCATAGGTAGCTAGAAGATAGTAATAATCACTGTCCCTTGTTTGTAGTTTTCTTGAAAAATAAACCACAATCTAAATGAACTATTTTGCTTGTAATCATCTGAAATATCAGTAGACGCATGGAGAATCCTCGCTTTCAAAAATACATCTAAGAATCTATTTAAAAGTTCCAGAAACAGCAACAGTATCTTTCGTACTGTCTGAAGGGAGAATGCTTTTACTGACGAAAGTCAAAAGTGGTTTGATACTTCAGCATGAAATGGGGCTGTGGAAAACATTTCTCCAACTAGACTCTCTCCTCTCAGAGCACCTACTGACAGTAGATGAGAATGGCTATAATCAGTAATAAAATGTTGTAAGTTTCTCCCATCCATATTCCACCTCTGTTTAGCACCATAAAGCAATTTTTAGTCAGAACAGTACAGGTACGTTTTTTGTCTCATTTTGCCTGATGGAATAAGGCTTCACACCTCTTTGCCTAGACCTTAAAGAGCTTTCAGACAAACCCTATTACACATATAGGACATTGATAATGGCATAAACCAAAATATTTTGTTTGTGTATGTCTACAATACTAATTGAATGTAGTAAATTCTTGGTATGTGTATTTTTGTATGCACATTATTCTGTTCTTCCTGTGCATTTTGGTACTGATAAAATATCTTTCAGCTGGTAAAAAGCACTGTGCACTGTAAGAATTTTAAGACTGACACCTTTGAGGAACATACACTAAAATATAGTCTTGTATATTTTATTTTGCCCTTGTTTCTAAAGTAAGATAGATTTTTGAATTTTTTTTTTATCTGGTCTGTCTCAAACTTTTCTAAGTTCAACTTCTCTCTCTCTCTCAAACACTGTCTATTGCAGTGAAAGCCTTTTATAAAATAGAGAGATTGAAATCAGTCCTTTGTATGCATAAGTGTAGGTAATTATACTTTAAAGAGAACTTGCTTTGTACATTTTAATTTTTATAAAGAAACGAGCAGTTATCTCCCTGACACCTTATTAAATGTATAATTAACCTTATGATCCCTAGCTCACTTGTGAATGCTTGGCAGTATAATTGGAGAGGAATAGTGTTTCTCTTTTTCATTCTTTTGCAGTCCTAAACCTCATTTTTGTGGTATGTTGAAGTATTAGTTTAATTCTTTCCCCTTTTGTTTTAAACAAACTTTATATCTACCATTTTAAAAACAATTTTACCAAAACGGTGCATTTTGTTTATCACTAACCTGCTTATGACTGCTACATTAATTATTTCTTTTTCTTTAGAGGTGTGGTGCATTAGTTGAGAAGAGAACTTTAGTGAGTTTTATGGCTAGATCAGCAACTAAACCTGGACAGGTATAATATTTTTTCATGTATATCATTGCGTATGTAGCAAAATACTATTTTATCAACCTTGGAAGTGTTTTGGGTCTTGAACTTCACAGTTGACAGCTTTATCAGATTTCTTGGGGAGCGGGGAGGTTAATTTGCAGAGTTGGTTACGTTTAAAGGGACAGTTTAATTTATGGAGTATGGTGGAAAAGGGGATGCAGTTAATTTTTTTTCTGTTGTTTCAGTAATTTCCTGCATTTTTGATGTTACACTTTATATCCTAGAAACATTGTGCTTTAAAGGTTTTACTGCACTTTGTTCGCTGCATTGTATGAATACAAATGCAAGTTTAAACCTCAGCCTCTTTCAAATGATAAAATGCCACTATGTTTACATTAAAACACACATTTCATATTACTTGTTAAGGTGGTTTGAGCATGTATCTAGTTTGAGCATCTGTTTAGGTTCCTGGCTTTGTGCTCATTCCCTAGAATTTGGAATTCTTTCATTTGTTTGCCTACTTTACTGATGACCCTTCCTCCCTCATATGCCCCCCTCAAAATAAAAAAACAAACAAACAAAAAAAAAAACCAAAACCAAAACAAAACAACAAAAAAACAACCAAACAAACAAAAACAACCAAAAAACCCAAACAAAATATACACACACATGCAAAACCACATTGATTTCTGTTTCATAGAGGAGCAGCATCAAGAGACAGTTAATACACAAACTAGAATAAATACTTTTCAAATGAGGGAGAATGCTCATTTATCTTTTGTGGAAATTTCCATTAAATATTCATAGACTAAAAGTTGTTCTGTTGAAGTGATGGTGATAAATGTGATGATGATAAATATGATGATGACAAACACCATCTTTTGGTGTCTGTAGAAGAAATTTAAAAACTTGAAATTTTCTAGCTTTTCAAGCTGAAATTTTAATAATACATAGAAGTAGTATGTGATAAAGATGTTACTAATTTCTGTAAACTTTTTTTAATTCAAGACCTGAGAGTTTTTGAAATGAATCAGAGGTTGAGGGAAGGAGGTTCCAAATTCAAGCATATTAATGATATGACTGCTAAGTACTGATCATAGCTACCATTGACCTCTAGGCCAGTGAAGGCTGCAGAGTGGTTTGCATTTTTTTTTTTTTATTTAAATTGGTTGACATTCTCATTAATACATTAATTGCTTCCTTCAAAAAAAAATTGAGAAGCTGATGTTTAGACTTCTTGAGTATGGATTTTAGTCCTATATTTTGTTTGTTTTATTTTGTGCCTGATTTCTTTTACTATTTCATATTTGTATATGAGATTTTGGAAAGGAAATTATTATGTCTACTTTTAGTTGCACGGTCCATTCCTTGTTATCAGTACAGTTCATTTCACTTAAAAGATTTGAAATAATTATTCTAACTTCAAAAATTGCATTTTGTTCTTTAAGATCTGTAGTTAATCCTCTTTTTGTCTGTGCATTAAATTTCGTAGGCAAAGAAGATCAAGACGCTTCTAGAACTGATTCCTGAGCATCTAGATAAGGAACCTGCATACCGTTACCTCATGAGATGTTATGGTAATTTATGTGCCTTGGAATAGTTTTTCAGTAAGAACTCTTCAGACATTCTGAAAGGTCATGGAAACCCTTAGAAAGGGGAGTAGGATCTACACTGTGTAACTTGCTTTACAGTTTGAGCCACAAAGAGGTGGGGAGTGTCTGGGATTTTTGTTGTTGAAGTCCTCTGGGCCTATGTACTATCCTAGCTATTAGGTTGGAAAAGCAACCAACTGACCCAAGCCTTGAGTCCTTTACAAAAGGAGCTGTATTAGATTAAAGGATACTGCTGCAGTAGAGGCTAAGGGGCTTTGCATAATAATAAAGCATTTATCCTAACCCATGGAGAGAAATACTGTAGAAGTAAATGGTTTTTAAAATTAATCTAGCTTTTTTCCCAAAAACATGTAATAAGTATATTGGTTCCTGCTATGTGTGTGTTTCAAAATCATAAGTGATTAGTTCTGTCAGTAATATGCAAGGACCTTATTGTTATTAGTGTAGATTCTTTGTACCTGTTTTAATTTAGCCAAAGTTAATATTATAGATGCCTTCATTTGGATTTACCTAAACAGTTGAAGTGCTAATCAGTTCTCTTTATAGTTGGAGTCAGAGAGGAACAGCTCTAAAAAATCAAGTTGTGTATTTAAAGGTGTTTATTTGCAACACTCATTCTTGAAAAACCAGGAGCCCCTGTGGCAATGTTCATTTGGAAGCTTGTGTCTCTGTGCTCTAGTGTCCTTTGCCTTGTGTACTCTCATATGGTCCTCCAGTTTTATTACAGGGAGTAAATACTCTTCACACGTGTATTACAAACAGAAAGATATAATGACAGAAGCTCTTGTTCTCCAATCTATCACAGAGGAGATCAATAGGAATAATTAAGTAAAACACTTCAAACCCAAATCCAGGGTATGGTGTTAAAGGAATACAAGCTTCGCTGTATTTGAATCAAGTTGTAGAAGTTCTTCTGATGCAGTACCTAACTTTAAAAATTCACTTGCTTAGTGATTGCTGTTTTGAACGTTACTACCAAAATCGTTTAGCCCCCATAACTACCCCATTCACAGCAGGGTAAGCTTTTTAACAGGGTTTTACAAAACAAGAGATTGCCCTTTTATCACCAGCACTGTACTTGCTGCTTTACACTATCATTAGCCGTTTGCTGCTTTTTACCTCAGTAAAAATTCCATAAGTGAACTAATTATTTTTTTCAATATCCTTTCCGATTACATCATAATACAACAATTTCATAAAGAGATTGCAGAGAATCAATCACTTGCTCTGTTATACCTAAAACAGTGGTTAGAGTGCATTCAACGTGTGAGGCCACACCAGATGTGAACAGATGGTTGCTGTAGTTTCTTTAGGCAGAGATGTAGCTGGCTCGTAACAAGTTCTGGAGGAAGCATTCAGTACCAGGATGAAGAGTTTTATAAGGTGTCCCCAGGTTATTCTGTACAAGCATCTCACCTGTATGAGACACTGATTCCACTCCTTTGTCAGGTAGAAGAGTGTACATCAGTTACTTGATCCACTTTACCAGGGTTCAGCTGGATGAGTTGTACTAGGGTATCTGAATTTCCTATTGCATCTTTCTGGTTTAAGGGACTAAGGGGTTGTCCTACTCTTAGACTATTCAGGGACATTTACTATATTCTGTTCCCACCATGTATAGTATGTACAGACCTGTACACCTGAACAGCAATTTAGCAACTTCTTCCCCTCATCCCTTCTCTTCCATTTTGATACTTTTTACAATGGTAGGTATGTTAATTTCATTTGTCTGTTAAAATGATCATCAGAAAAATATTTAGCACAACTGAAATTTGGAAGTGCTTAGGGTGTGTTCTAGCCAAGAGGGCTAGAAATAAGATCTTTTATTTAAAAGGTTTCATTTTTATTTTTTTCATTTTACAGTTAGTAAGCTTCAAAACATGATTTCTCATTATGGGCCACGTCCAACCTTGCAGTATCATAATTTTCTAGGCAACAAATGATTTCTCTGTCAGGTCCATTGTTATTTTTAATTAGTTAGAAAGGGAAATGAAAGATAACAGAGTATTATTACTACAGTTGGTTACTGTTACTAGTTATCAAAATAAATGGGCAAATAAAATTGTTTGTGTTTAGCAAATATACGGTAGAAGATAGATCAAAGCTGAAAGACCTCTGATCTTATATCAGATGTCCACGACTGAACATGTCCCTGAAAGGGACATTTACTCTTTTCCTTACCCTGAGACGTGGTTCACCGCCAGGGCTAGATTTCCTTCCTCTGGTGAGATGCATAATCCTTTGCTGTATACCTTCTAGAAGAATGAACTAAAAATCACATTTGCCTGGTCCATTAAACACAATCTAAGTATTAGCATTTTTTTTTTGTTTTCTGTACAATAAATACATCTATTTTAAAGAAATAGAAAGTTAATGATTTCTATTAGGCTTTCATTAATCCGTCACTTCATGCAATTTCTGAAGTAGCCTCCCACATTCAAAAAGGAGTGCAGTTACTTGCCAGGTGTGAGTGGGAAGCTTTTTCTCATGAGAAGGGGACACAAGCTATCCATTTCTGCATAATTAAAGCTTTTTTCCTTCAAGAACCATTGTTTTCGTAGCCCCTGTGGTTGTGGAGATGGTGTTTCCAAATGTGAACAAGTATGAACCTGAGACAGCTCCCATAGTGCAGATGTTTGTCTTTTCCCAAGCAACAAAATGAATTTAACTGGATGTGATGGTTTCCTTGTTGTTCACAAAGTGCTAGGAACTGTTATACTGCTTCTAGGACCCTGAGAACAACAGCAAAACTGTCAGGGTCACTTCATCCCAGTGCTTTTCAAGCAAATGTCTGAGCAGCAGCAAAGTCTGTGGTTAAGCATGAGTCAGTGTGGGAGGAGGAGTTTCTCCCCTTTCCCACTTTAGAGGAAGGAGAAATATACTCCAGTCTTCTACAGCTAGAAGTGAATAGTGCTTCAAATAAATGAAGAATGGATTCGTTGGAACATGTTGCTGGGGGTGGTGCCTTTTAGGGAATATCCAGAAAAATGCTATTGGTTACCTAAGCAGTTAAAGTTTGTAATAGTGTTAGTGGATCAGCAAAAATGTCTTCCTACTCATTAGGATGAAATGGGTTTTTCTTTGTGTTCTAAAATGAACATCTAACCTTTGTTTTTCTTTGTTCCTTTAGGTTATAGTTTTGATGTAGCCAGCACCTGGAACCGTAACAATATTCTGCCCTTACTTAAGGGAATTAAACTCTGTTGTAGAGTTCTCATATGCTGAACTTGGGTGGCTTTTGTTCTAGCTTTTGTTTTTAATTTTCATAATTTGCTTCAGAAGGAAGCATGTGGCTCTATCTCACATCCTAGAGTGGTGTGTTCTCACTGTGCAGCTCCTACTCCTTTGTGGTTCCAGCACATGCTTGAAGGAGTTGATCATCCAGCCTCATATATAAAGGAAGGCTGGAATGGCTGTACGTTCTGTTCTCTTATCTGAATTGTCAGTAGGTTATGAAGAATATCCAGAGTATTTGGAATATTGTACATTCAAATATTTAGAATATCTTTTGACAAGTAGTAGGAATGTGTGACATCATGGAAACAGGTGAAAAGAGGAACACTTAACCATGGGGTGGGGGGTTGTTTTTTACTTTTTTCCTCAGAATTGGATGGGGATGTTGCTTCTGTAAAGGCTGTGTATGAGAAAACGAAAGTGGAGAATATACAGCTGCATGAACTAGCTCTGAAATCTTTAGCAGCTTTTCTGAAGAAAGTAGGAGAGCCTGTCCCTTTCACTGAACCCCCTGTGAGTATTTCCTAATTAAGAAATAGATCTACAGAATTGTGTATGTTCAGTGTTAATAAAATAAATTGCATGAATAATTACTTAGGGATTAGATCTCTGCAGAGACTCCTCAAAGGAGGTAATGTATGAAGTGCTGAGTGTTGTAGGAGCTATAGTAATCTTGCGTTGGGTTTGACTCGAGGAAATAAAACCTCTTGGGGCTTACGATATTTAAACTACTTGATCCTTATCAGGTACTCATCTACAGGTGTACCTTTATCAAATGTCCTTGGGGCACTTATCTAAGCAATTGAACTTTAAAAGGCTTATAGAATGTGTATTTCATTAACAATTAATGGGTTTTAGTTTTCATTAATTACCTGTTTTGTATGTAGTACAAGTTGCTGCTTTAGAAGGGTGGGATTTTAGAACTGTAGGAATTCTTTTTCTTTTGCAGTTTTGCTTCTAGCTGCCCTGCCAACAGATAGATGCTGTGCAAATTTAGCTTATTGGAGGGTGACAAGTGGCATGACACTAAATCTGTCAAGAGCGTAAATACTTTTTTCACGTTTTTCCTTTGACTCGTAGTCTACAAGTACCATTTTAGCAAAGCAGACCTTAAAGACTTACTATGTTTTCCCCCTCTAAGCAAACTTTTTATTGCCATTTTCTAACCACTTTCTATATTGTAAAATAAGTGGTTTTCTGCAGTTCTGTAAAGACCTGATTATATGCTGTTTCTCCCTATTGCTTCATGATAAATGTGATTTTCTTCTCTCATTTTGCAAAGAATTGGAGAAAAAATTGGCATAAAATATTTGGTTTAGCCTTTTAACAGCTGTGGAGTGTGTTCTGCAACCTTGATGTAATTTATAATCTGAACTGTTATTTGGACTGTGTAAATTTAAAACCTAGGATGTCTGTTTCTTACATCGAGCTAGTGAAAATACGAGTGTTTTTTTCAAAGTGATTCAATGAATCATTTTCTGATTTCCCTGTTCCATTTTCCTCTAATGCAGCTTGGTCTTTAAAAGCATCTCATATTTTTTTTTGACACAATTGCAGATTGCAGTTAAAAAGTATTTTCATTTTAAAAATGATTATATTATTGCATTTTGTAATAGAAGCTTCATTATGCATTTTTGGCAAGGTTTTCCTTTTCCTTTTATTCTCTCTCTCTCTGGTATTTCTCTTAATTATACAGACTTCAATACAGATCTAGTTTTGCATGACAGAGAATAATAGATTTTGCTTTTGTCAGGACATAAGACTTTGTTCAGAATTAGTAACTTTTCAGTTGAAACAATGTTGAACTTGTTTATTCCATTCTATTTATAGGAGACATTCAAATTCTATGTGGAAGAATTGAGGAAAAGAAGAGCTGAAGCATCATGAACAGACAGTCTTTTATGCTTTAGTTGTTTATGAAATTTGTTTAACTATTACATTCAATAAAAATTCAAAGAAGTGTGTTGTTCTGTGTAATTTTTAATACAAATCTGTGTTCAAACAGCACTCTCCATAGCTGTAATTGATAGAAACATTCATTAATAGAAATGCTGTTAAATTGCTAGTGAAATATCAAGATGCAGCTTTCTAGGCTATTTCTGCTTTGATATATGATCTGCTATAACCTGAACTGTATTTTGGCTTCTCTTGATTCACCAAATATATGTATATCAAGAAAGTTGCTGGAGGGGTATGTAACTGTAACTTAAGCAAGCTATCTTATCCTTTGTTGTTCTGCGCCTGGTCAATGTACTTTGGGATGAAAGCAGAAGGGTAAAGAATGTCGTCTTCAGGATTCACCTGTATCTACACAGAAAATAAACAAATCTTTTTTAGATTTCTCCAACATGTACTATTCTTGTGTCAAGTGTCTTGTTAGGGCGTTTGAATATTACAGCTAAAGACAAAATACTTCTACCGTTTATTCTAGCTTGTGTATTGCATTTTTGTAGCATCTTTAATTCGTTCTCATAACTGTTAGTCCAGTTAATTTTTTGGATACAAGAACTGCATATCCATGAAAACATGCCTTTTATACAAAGCAGCGCCCATTATTTCCAGGGGTAGTAGTTTTTACTTGCTGGAAGACTCGTGGGCATGCTTTACTTGTGTAAAGGTGGGAGTAAACCTACTCTGATGTGACATTTTAAAATCCAGAGTTGTGGGATCATGAAAATAAGATGCTTACAAGTTAAGATGATAAAAGAATACGTAGAAAATATAGCCATTATTTCTGTGAATAATAATGGAAACTCACAAACCTGCACACTGGTATTAACAAAAATGGAATATGATACCTGTGCAGCACTTCAAACAGGTTTTAATGAAATTAAATCTTGTTTTTGTGCATTTAAAAAATTCATTTATTAATCTTTACATTTTCGGTTAGTTAACCTTATCTTTCTTAGGTTTTCCTACGTAGGCAACACTGGTAATTAAAAATTCATGTGTGCACACAAGGTTTTGGTGAAATTTTGAAAGACTTGTACAGTAATCTTAATATGTCAGAGTTAGAAAGAAATTCGGACCTAATTTTTAAAGTGACATTTCCCATTCATTAACTAGTATATTTACAAAGACACAGAAAATTCCTGCTGTGCTTAAAAAATGAGGTGTAACTAATCAGGGGCTGAGGAAAGTGGTGAGTGGTAAGTTCTGTTCTCCAAACAAATTGGATCAATCCTAGCTGTGTCTGCTCGGCTGGTGGTGTGGTTTTACAGTGACCTTCGTTACTCCACACACGTAGACGTGACAACACACTGCACCTACGTGGCTCTAACTACCTGGCACCCTTTGTTCCTGGGTTGTCAAGATAAGGCATTAACATTTGAAATTTCATTCATAGCCTAATGGTTGTGTGCCCCATCTGAAAGCAAGCCTAGGCAGTACTCTGTTTATTTCATTTCACAAATGGAGATGTTTCTTTTTTCTAAAGCTGCAGCTACATTACATGTGTTTCAGTGTAATAGCAGCATAATTGAGGACTGGGTCAACTAGTTGGCGACCCTTTCGCTAGTGCCACAGCTCTTGTTTTTAGAGGTCACCTCGTGAATCTCTGTTTCTCAGCGGTAGCTGTGTTCCAGTAAGTGGAGTCACAAGTGGAGATAATGGGGCTGTATGCTTTCTGAGCTAAGCTTGCACATAGGGTAAGGAGGAGAGTATTGCTTGAAGCAAACTCCAGGTCACGGCAGAGGAAGTTAACAGCAGATCTGTAGATCTTAACCACCTTCTTGACAAGGAGGTGGAATCCTGTGTGGTCGTGGAGCGGGTGCAATTGCTTGTCAGGTGCTGCATCCGTCATGAGTCCGTGTGGTGACACTGGCAGGTCCTGCTCGCTGGCTGCTGCCTTCCGAGGCGGAAAGGCAGCTCGCAGTGCTGCAGCCAGATGCGCGGCTGCGTGTTGCTCGTGCCTGTGCACGAGGTCTTACCATGCAGCATTCATACTAGCTAGCTTCGACAGGTTTTTCTTCTAACTGGTTTGACTTGAGCTCTAGCAGCATATAATGCCCTGTCATTTACTAGTTGCAGTTGTGGAGGTGAAAAGTACGTTTGCTAGCCCGTAACTGAAGAATATAAATGAAATGGTTTTCAGCTCTGAAACTGCATTTTGAGTGACCTAATGGAAAATTAGGGGCTGAATGAGCCGACTTCTGAGGCAATTAAAGATTGGTGAGGCACTGCAAGAACACGAGGCCAGGCAGTACCAGGGTTTCGTGGCAGCAATGAGGGGGTAATGGGTGAAAGTGCGCACTCATCATTTGGGCTCATGTTGCAATAGCCAGGGCTTGTGGAGCCTTCTGGCAGAAATGGGAAGTCAGAGATTAATCAAAGGATATGTAAAGGCCGCCACTGTGTGATAATATTTCTGATGTTCTGTTCCAGTAAATGTTTTGTGTGCAGTTAAGGAATGATTACATAGAGGATAGCGGTTTCTCCCGTCTTTAAAAGGTGGGACGGTGAGGGATTTGTGCCACTCTGGGACACAATCATCTCAGTCTGAAACAAGGTTATACTGGGAAGGTTTTGCAGAGTCGGCATTTGTGCCGACTCTTCTAGAATACGCTTGAAATGATAATATTTCTTGTGCATTGGTGTGCTGAGACTCAGCCATTTCAAGCATGAAGAGAAATGCAATTTAGAAGGTTAGCGTTTCTTCACTGAATAAGTAGGCAGTTTCATTATTTATTTCTTCATATTCAAAGAGGGAAACTTTTAAGATGATGAAATGCAGAATGGCAGTCTTGCAAACTTGTCGTGGTGATTTATTAGTCCCAATACCAAACGTACTCTGTCACAGTGACCACATCACGCACCCCTTTTAAAGCAGAAAAGAATTGTTTGCCACTGGCTAGCGGATAACTGTGATTGTGCAAGATCCAGACCAGGTGCAGTGTCTGTGAGATAGGAGCATGTTTTTCCAGAGGCCTCAGTGGGAAGCTGAGAGTGTGCTGACATGAGATGACCTGACATGTTACTGTAAAAAGCAAACTGGGGGAGCGTGTATGTGTTTGCATAATAGTGTGTCTTGATTGGGGTTGAGATGACTGGAAAAAGCTTACTGCTTGAATTCAGATGACTTAATCACACCTCTGTGCCCTGCACCACATTATGGACTCGCCTCCTTCCCCCACTCCCCTTGAGGTAGGGGCAGGAGGAGGATGCTTTTTGGGTTTTGACCTCAACATAGGAAAAGTTTCCTTCTTAGCTGCTAATATAGTGATTTTGCAGCACAATAATTACATGCTGTAGTTCTATCCTTATCTACTAAAACAGTTTGTTCAACTCATTGTCTCCTGAGACCCTTTTCTATAGCAAGAAATACAGCTTGGTAGATTGTAGCTGTCTTTAGACTTTCCTAATACATACCTACTGTTGAAAATGGAGTAGCTGAATGGATCGTGTCTTTGGCAGTGACAGCTTGGAAGGTTTTTATAGATTGAATGCCTGAGTCAGCAGGATTCCCGCTGCAGTTTACAGTAACAAGGGAGGATCACAACAGTGAAGGTAGGATCATGAGTGCACATATTGGCAGAGAAGTAGACTGGAAGCATGTTCACCCACGTACTACTTTATTTATCGCTTTTCTCAAATGTGTGATGCTACCAGATTCCCCAGGAACAAACACAGCAGAGGAGGAAGTGGCAGAAGTGATGGATTTGAGGAGATTTTGCTGTTCAGTGTGAGAAATCTATCAGCATCTAGAAGGAATGTCCACTTTTCCTGCACCAGTATACTGTTGCTGTAAAGGTAAAGAAAACTGAGCATGTAAGAAAAAGCTGCGGCTGTCATTGGATTTAGCCTTTTTTTTAGCAGAAATTTCTCTGCTTTTCTTGTAAATTATTCTCATAATTTCTGTATAAAGTCAACTGCATAAAGGTATTTCCTTTTCAGAATGGCTGCAGACTCTGGTGATTTGCCAGTACTTCTGTGAATCAATAATCAGAGGAAACAAAATCCTTTCAAGTTAATGTCTCCAACTGAGAATGCAATTTAATCCAAAGGCATGTTTCCAAGTGTGAGTGTGCAGATCCTCAGGTACGGGAGCAAAGTTCCGGGTTTCCCATCAGGTATGGAAATAAGAGTAGATATGGAAGTCTGAGGTTCGAGTTTTCTATGCTGCTTCCTGTAATTAGGAAAATGAGATAATAGAAACTGTCTTATGCAGTGCCTTCTATAAACAGGGGTTCCACAATGATCTACTTTTAGATAAAACTTAATGCAAGGTTTCCCTCTGATACTCTCAAACCTCTATATTACAGTTGGCTAATGCTTCACAATCTCATGCGATTTCCCTTATATAACACCATGATAAAGCAGTGGTATCTATAGAACTGCTGTTGTCTGCAGCAATAGCTCCAAACCTTTTTGTAGTTCTGTGTTTCTTGTAGTTACTTCATTCAGCTGTAAGTGCTGAGTGGAATATGAATATGAACTCAAGGTTCAGAAAACAGAAAACCTCAGTGTCTCACAGTGAAAGTGATGAGTCTTGAAAACCAGCAGCAAATTTAATTCTTGGTTTTGCAAGTAGCTTGCTTCTGCTGTTCCTCACATAGTCCATGAGACAGGGGCAAATCTGAAAAGTGGGGTTATGGGAAGAGTTGTAGGTAGCAGAAATGAATCTTCAGGGGAGGAGGGTGGACTTTCAGATAGAAAACTGTTTGGGATGGAGGGAAAGCAGGGGGAGTTGGACAGGATGAGGTTGGCCTGGCCAATCTCCTTTGAGATTGTTGAAGAAAGCTCTGAAAGGCAGTTTTACTGGCTGCTGAATTTCTATTTGTGTGAGAGGGGCTATGAAGAGTGGCTGTCAAAATACAGGGTCGTTGCAGAGGTACTCTGAAGGGGTTGGAAGTACTGGGAAAATACCTAGGGTGGGAAGGGTGAGAGTTGGTATTGTGGATGGCAGTAAGACATCAAAGCCAGCAGCTTCAGCGTGGTGCTGTAGGCCTGCTTGGATTGGGAGGGAGCGCCCGTGAGGGGAAGGAGCAGCCCTCAACTCACTGCAGCTGGGGTCAGTGGCACGCCACTGTGGATCTTTGCCTTTTGATGGCTCCCACTGTCTCCTCAACCACTTCTTGAGGCTCACTGGGGCAGAAAGCAGTGGCAGCAGCAAGGGCTGCTAAGGGTGAGTTGGATGCTAAGCCCAATTCAATGAATGAAGCAGCTCTGACGGTCTGAGCAGAGCTGCTGAGCCCAAGCCTGGTCCTCTCGTGCCCTTCCACCATGGGGAGTTGTGATGGTGCCAGTCCTGTACTTACAGTTGGGTAACTGAAGAGACGGGAGCATCATTGTGTGCAAAAAAATCCCCAAATAAGTTCGTCCTAGCAGCTGCCTCTTAAACCTCACACTTC